TGCCTGGTGGGTGGGGTGGGGGGAGAGAAGCAAAGGCGGGCGGTAGCAGAGCAGTGCTTACGGGCTAGCTAGCGGTCCTGTGATGTTACTCTTCCTCGTTTGGAACCTGAGGCTGGAGGCGTCTATGGGGGGAGGAAGGACTCTTCTCTTTGCACCTGCTGTGTCAGGGTAAGGAGTCCCACCTGAGACGGCAGAAGGGCTCTTGGTTGAACCTGTGGGCCGGGGGCTCATGGTTGGGCAGAAGTCTGAGGCGGTGCACCCCTGTGTCACTGGGGTAACTAGAAGGCTGTAGCTGGGCGATGGCAGAGGGCCGGTGCGCTCTGAGGAGAGCTGCCCCATGCTGTTGAGCCTCAAAGAGGCTGGAAGACGACGGCCAGACCTGCACTCTGCTGATGGCTGGAAGGGGGAAGACCCCTTACGAGGTTTGGTTGGAAGGCTGAACCTGACTCACCCATCCCCTGCAGGAGGCTGCGTACCACCAGCAGGAAGAGGGAAAACCAAGGCACGGGCCTGGGATTTTGATGCCGGAGAGGTAAGGCTTGATATCTAGCTTTCTAGTGTGAATTTTCTTATAACAGCGGTTGCCTCAGGAACCTGCATCTTGCTGTTTCTCCAGCAACTCCTCTTGCTCTGGGGCTAGGAAGCTTTCTCTGGGTGCTAGCCAGAGCTGCTCGCGAAGTCAGTTCTCCTAGCGCTGCCTCGCTAAGGTCAGGCACAGCTCAACACTGGATCATCCCTATCCAAGGAGCCTGGGTTCAAGTGTTAGCAGCTGCAGGCTCTTGTGGCGGTGAGCTTCTTCACAGCAGTGCCCTGCCCGCCTCTGGATGCGGGAGGGAAGTCATCCCGAGACGGGGCCAGTCCCACGGAATCGAAAGCCAAACCTCCACTCGCTAGCTGCTCTCACAGTCGCGCTCTGTGTGAAAAGATGCAGCCAAAGTCCTTTCTGCTAACCCCTACCCCTTCTGCCGGGCCGGGAGCCACCGAGGAGTAACCCTGCGGCACTCGTCTGATCGCAGCGCTGGCCGGAACAGCAGGACGGGGGTTGGGCAGATGCTGCCTTCTGTCTCTATGCAGCGGCTCACCCAATACAGAGGGACCTGCTTTTTGCTGTCACCGAAAGGCTTGCATGTGCCCTCCTCCCCCTCCTATGGATCCCTCCTTGGATCACTGGCATTCTCAGGGCAGCAGCTTCCATAAAGCAGCCCCTTGTCAGCCAGCTCCGTGCTTGCTCCCAGGTGTTTCGTTCCCTCCGGCTGGGGTTGGCGTGCGTGTGGTACTCCCCGGTCACTGCAGCCCCCGATCTGTGTGTGTCTGTGCGCAGACAGCCTGACGGAGGGAGCCGTTCGCTTTCCCCCACGCCCTTCCAGCGCAACCTTGCTTTCTAAGAGCTCCGCTGAAGGCCGGCTGGAGGCGGCGGATTTTGACGCGGGAGGGCTATAGGCCGAGGGGCTGGGATGTCGCACAGCAGTCATCTGGACGGCACCTAGCACGTTGTCAGGCTGGGTCCCATCCCACTAATCTCCTGCCGCAGATGTGAAGTCCAGCTGTCTGTGCTAGACTACAGGCTTCCTGGTCAATGCTTAAATTCCTCCAGGGCCGACTGTGCAAACAAGCGGCGGTTGAACCAAGTGGTAGCCTGCCGGCAGAATGGAAGGGAATGCAGAAAATGGTATCATGTGTAGCTCGGCCCGGCTGCTTTTGTCTGGAATGTCTGTTCTAGTCTCCCCATCTCCATGGATGCTCAAGATCCAGGGGGCAGGAGGGTGTCAGACAGCCACTTACCTTTGGTATATATGGTTGTGACTACTTTCTTCCACTATTTGATCTGAGGAAGTGGGTCTGGCCCACGAAAGCTCATCATCTAATAAACCATCTTGTTAGTCTTTAAAGTGCTACATTGTCCTGCATTTTGCTTCAACTACCCCAGACTAACACGGCTACATTTCTATCACTTAGATTGTTGGCTCCTTCAAGCAGCGGCCTCCTTATTCTGTGTCTTCTGCAGCGTGAGGCACAGTGGGGACACTGCAGTAAAATGACATCGGCTGGGGCGAAACCCGTCTGAACAGACCCGGAGAGGAGCGGGGGATGTGAGACAAGCAAATGGGCTTGAGGAGAGAGACTAGGAATGGGGCCTGGGCCTCGTAACACAGGAGCAGGGGGCATTCAGTGAGGTGGGAAGGTGGCAAATTCAGGCCTGACTAAAGAGTTGAGAGTTTATACAGCACCCCAGGAGCCGGGGGGAAGCCATGCGTCTGCCACCAAGGCCAAGTGCTCAGTAGGGCTCAGTTAATTACGCGGGCAAGAAACAGCTCCCTGTACGTTTGTGTGAGGGCTGGAAACTTCCAAGGGCAGGGCAGAGGCTTGGGTGAGGAGGAAACGGTCCTCCGGAGACTCGCGAAGGGCTCAGCAGTGGCTCAGGGGGTGGGGCATGAGGCTGCCTCCACAGAGATGCCTGAATTTGGACCCAGCTCCTGCAGCGACAGGCCGTGCTGGGCCAAGGAGGCTGGCTGCGCTCAGGCTGCGAGGGAGTGGGGCCGTGCTCGTGTGTGGGCCGAGTCTGAGAGTCGGGGAGGAAAGGGCGTGCGGGCCCCAGACAAAATGGCAGCTGCAGGGGAGTAGCTAGTCCAGTGCGGAGCCAGGTCACCTTTCACAAACTGTTCTGTGCCCCACACCGGGCCTGCCCCCTGCCCCACATCCCTGGGCCGGAGTCCCCACTGCTGTAAACAGACAGAGCTCCCCTGAGGTCCGTGGAGCTTAGATCTGCGCTGGCTGAGGAGCTGAGCCAGCCGTGGGTTTGAGCCAGGAGCCAGCATTCGACGCCACATCATAAGGCACCATCTCTTCACAAAGGCATCTCTGATCCGGCACATCCCAACTGGGCTGTGTTCGAGTGACAGCATTGTACATGGAAGCACGAGCAGCGTTTTCCTGGGACTGGCCTGGTCCTCCAGGCACTGGATGTGCTTGGAGCTGAAAGCCGGGCAGTCCGATAAACCAGACCCCTGGCTTCCGGTATTGAAAGGCACAATTCCCGTTTAGTTCCCTCCCTCTGCCCAGCTGAGATTCCAGCTGGGAGACTCACTGATTTGTTGGTATCTGACTTTTTGAAGGTATTTTGTAAGAGATGCATCATGACTCCTATCTTAACCACTTTGTCTTGTGGCTGGAACACCAGATGGAAACTTGGGGGACAGGCGAGGGACCCTGGGCACTTCCCCTCTCTCTGCCTCACTTTCCCCATCTGAAGATTACAGAGCTTGCCCCCTCATTTAGCACGTTGCTCTTCTCTGATGAAAACAGCTACGCAAGGGTTGTGTGTCATGATGCTGCCAGAGCCGGGGCGTTGGTGCACTGTAGTCGCTCCTATTGTGTGCCACAGGCAGAGAACAGTCTAGTTTCCTGTGTGGGCAGGGGGAAGAGTCTTGTTGTGGTGTTGGGTTTAGTGTGGGGTGCAGTGGGGTGGTGATGGTACGCCGGAGGTCAGGCCTTAGCGGAAAACTTAGCGGAAAACTTTTCCTTAGAGGAAAACTTGCTCTGAGCTGACAGCCTGTGCCAGCCTCTGCCAAATCTCACTTTTTGTTGACTGATTGAAGCAACCCATTCTGGGGGGCTGCAAAGTCTGGGTGGGGCTCCTGAAGGTAAGAATGGACACATGAGACGGCTGCCCGGGGAGGTCAGCTCTGCTTGGCCGTGAAATCGTGGTAGGGCCCTTCACCAATGACCCAGCCTACGGCTCAAGCCTTCCGAGCCGGCCCCACGAGACAGCTCAGCACCTAAAAGCCAAAGGAGGGGGTGAGAGAATCGGCCGCTTGCCTCGCTTGGACCCCACAGGGATGTGGAGAGGGTATTGGTCAGAAGCGTGTTTCTAATTGAAATTACCCTCCTGTTGCAGTTCCAGCAGGAGGAGCAGCACGCTCAGGTGGATGGAATTCGGACTCCTCCTGTGTGTCATAGCCCCTGCTAACAGGTTAGTGGAGATTCTCCTTTCGCTCAAGCTGTAGGGGTCTGTGACTCCGGAGCCAGAGTTCTGTTCCCGACCAGCCCGAAATTCTAGCTGGTGGGGAGCAGTATCATGCCCAATGCCAGCCTGCTAGATGGCAACGGCTTTATGATGCCTAGCACCTGCCTCAGCGTCTTTTAATAGCTGTAACCATCTTACTAGCCCCTGGAGGAGGAGCCGTTTTGTGACACAGGATTGATGCAGAGTGATTGTCACTCACCCAAGATCAGTGAATCGGCATGAGAGCTGTGATTGATAACTCAGCAGTTCTTGCTGCCCAGTCATTTAGGCTTTCCCGGGTGTGGCGAGTTTTATCCATTGCTGAAATGCAGCCACTTCTGGGAGGGAACACGACTGCCCACAACAGCATTACCTGCCGGTTTGCAGCAGGACGTGACTATTGCCTTGTTTGCTGTGGCAGGCGTTGTGCGCAGGGAGGCAGAATGCAGATATCAGAGCTGGGATGTGCCCGGGATTGAGTCCAGAGCGACTTAGACAAATTGGAGGATTGGGCCACAAGAAATCTGATGAGGTTCAACAAGGACAAGTGCAGAGTCCTGCACTTGGGACGGAAGAATCCCAAGCATTGTTACAGGCTGGGGTCTGAATGGCTAAGTAGCAGTTCTGTAGAAAAGGACCTGGGGGTTACAGTGGATGAGAAGCTGGAGATGAGTCAACAGTGTGACCTTGTAGCCAAGAAGGCTAATAGCATACTAGGCTGCATTAAGAGGAGCATTGCCAGTTGTTCCAGGGATGTGATTATTCCTCTTTACTCGGCTCTGGTGAGGCCACATCTGGAGTAGTGTGTTCAGTTCTGGGCCCCCCACTACAAAAAGGATGCGGACGCACTGGAGAGGGTCCAGCGGAGGGCAACCAAAATGATTAGGGGGCTGGAGCATATGACTTATGAGGAGAGACTGAGGCAGTTGGGTTTGTTTAGTCTGCAGAAGTGAAGAGTGAGGGGGGATTTGATAGCAGCCTTCAACTTCCTGCAGGGAGGTTCCAATGAGGATGGAGAAAGGTCTGTTCTCAGTAGTGACAGATGGCAGAACAAGGAGCAATGGGCTCAAGTTGTGGTGGGAGAGGTCCAGGTTGGATATTAGGAAAAACTATTTCCCTAGGAGGGTGGGGAAGCACTGGAATGGGTTATCTAGGCAGGTGGTGGAGTCTCCATCCCTAGAGGTGTTTAAGTCCCAGCTTGACAAAGCCCTGGCTGGGTTGATTTAATTGGGTCTGGTCCTGCCTTGGGCAGGGGGCTGGACTTCATGGCCTTCTGAGGTCTCTTCCAGCCCTGGGAGTCTATGATTCTATGATGTGTTGGCCAAACTATTGTGAAATGTCAGGGGACTTTGGAGGCCCACAGATTGGTAGATCTGCAGTTTATAGCACGTAGGAAAGACGTCCCCTTCTGCAGCCCAGTTGGCTTGCCACCGCCGGGGCTGGATCGGCACCCAGGCAGAATGCCCAGTGCATCCACGAGCTCTCCCATCAAAGTATTGGCCCAGCCCAACCATGCTTAGCTAGCTCAA